ACAGAAAGAGACCTCTAGGGCCCCAACCCCTGGACCCCGCAAATTCATTATGGAGTGTAAATTATTGAGAACAGCACTAGGCCAACAGTTAGTGTCTTAGTAGGTATTAACATCAAGTAGGAGCTCATATTAGTTCGTTTTACTAGTCTTTTAATTGACAGCAATTAGGGAAGTCTTCTATGTAGCAGGAGTTCACTAATTAAGAACTGTTATGGCTAAGACTTGCTCTCAACTGTCTTCTACCTACTGTGAAGACAAACATGTAAACAAAGTACAACCCTTAGCTATGTGTGAGGGAGAAAATGGTCACTGTTCTGGTCCAGATTTCCCTCTTTCTGACACCCCCCTGCATGTCACACATGCTCTCATCTGCACTGGGGTGTTGTTTCTTGTGTTGGCAATTTTATTCTTACCTAGCGTGGTTGCTTAAAATTAAGTGGAGACTCTTTATCTGTTGTATTGCTAAGGAAGTTTCATTTTCTTCCATAATTTCCACGAAGCACCTTCTGCCAATTTTATTCTCTGTGAATGGTTTCTTAATTTTCGAGGTGCTGCAGTAGGCTCCATATCTCCACTCCGAGAGCTCTTTGTTCTTTGGCCCGACCACTGCCCATTATGTAGTCTGTTTTTGCTAACATTGCTGTTACAGTAAGAGGTTTTGGGTATTTTTAATTCATTTCCGTTTGTTGGAAAGAGTAATTTCCTATTTGGGGATGGAAATAAAGATACTTCATACTTAGACTGCTTGAGGGCTGAAGCTTAGAGTTTCCTTGAAAATAATCAGAAGCTCCAATTCATGTGGGTGACTTGTCCTCATATGCAAAATTTGCAAGGACTGTCACCAGAAATTTTGCTTTGGAGCTTTCCAAGATAGTTATCTTTCACTGTATCAGAGTTTCTTAAGCTTCAGCACTATTAACATTTAGGGTTGGCTAACTCTATTGTGGGGGCTGTCCTGTGCACTGTCAGATGTTCAGCAGCATTCTGGGCCTCCCACTAAATGCCCATAAAACTGCCCAATTTTGACAGCTAAAAATATCCATAGACATTTTTGCCAAATGTTCCCCCTGGAGGGCCAACTCTCTCCAGGATGAGAACTACTGTTCTAAATAATAAAAGTGTGAGGGTAGATTGATGAAAATTATACAATGTATTAACAAGCAAAACAGAAACATTCAAGACAATGACAGCAAATACTTCTGGAGTATATTATGTGGACATACAGGCATTGTTTAGGAACTCTTCATATAAAGACACAAACCTGTTGGATGAAGTGCTCTTGTATTTTTATTACCCACATTTTATAGATGCGGAAAATGAGGCTCAAAAAGGTCACCCAGCTGCTAAGTGTCAGGTCAAGAATCTGAACCCAGACAGTTTGACACTAGAGTCAATGTTTTGAACTTACTATCCTTCTCTTTCAACAAATACTTATTGAACTAGATAACCTACTTGGCATAGCATGGAACTGCTTCTGGTAAATGCTTAGTAAATATTTAAGTGAATAAATGAATAAGTATTTATAAATCCAGGAAATCATTTAATATTTTATGAAGTACTGAATAAATTCCTTACTTTAGTAATTTAAATTTAAAAACACATTTCTCTTTTAATACAATCAACTAAATATTATCTATTAGGGCAAAGCAGAGGGTCTCTTAGCTTTTCTAAACCCATTCTTGAGGATCTTTTGAAAAATATTTGTCAAGGTGACCGTTAGTGTTTCTTCTAATCTGAGTTTCTATTTATCTGCTAGTGCAATTTTGCATTGTCAGAATGAAAACTGGTCAAACTGAACAAACTATTATTTTCCTGATGAGATTAAACAAAGCATCTGCTCTTACCCTATAATAAGGAAAAAGAGAATTCCAAACTAGGTATGTGTTCTGATGATCTATGCTGCACTGTTTGATAATATGACCTAGCTTCAGGACTTATTAAAAATTGATCATCTTTAACTAACAGGAAACCACTTTAGCCGATCAATGTTCAGGCTTCCATAGTTGGCTTCCTATAATAGATAAGAGTGTTTGACTCTGAAGGTTGTTACAAATGCATTACATCTGATTTATATCTAAGTAGAAAACATTAGATATAAATTTTTATATGACAAAATATGAAAACTTCTATTATTCTTATTAAAGATTTTTTAAATGTATATTTAAAAGAATGGAAACTTCCAGTGTGTTATTGAAATAGCAATAAATAAAATATAACCATAAAATAGCAAGAAGACAACCAACCACATAGCTTCATCTTCCTAGTTCTTTTAAAACTTTTAAAGAGTATTATCATTTTAGTCAATGAAGCCATAAGTAATATATTTCTTTTGTTTAGATGATCTTTCAAAAATTTGAATGGCTTCATTTATTTCCATAATTCTGAAGAAGAAGTCAATTATTTTAAGGAAAATACTAGGCAATGTCCTAAATCTCAGTTTTCATGGAAGATCTTTCAGATTGTCATGTGATGAGAGGCATAGAAGTACTAATATATTTTATCTTCTTCAGTGATATGCAGGGATATTTTTGTTCCTGATCTAGGGTGTTTGCTCACAGCATTAGAAATCATGATTTCTAAAATCAGTACTTACCACATAGTAAATAATCTATAATTTACCTCCCACACAATCTTGATGCAGAGCATTACTTCGCTATTAGCATTTAGGGTGGAGAATCCTAATATCTAAAATAATTGTGGGTTACTCTATGTGTCTGTATATAAAATGATTTATGAGGGTACAGATTTCTACTGAAATGATAGGGTCATTCAGGCATTCTTTTTTATAAATTTGTAATTATGGAAAACTGCAGAAGACAACAAACACTAAGCAAAACAGAATTTCTCAGAAAATAGAAAGTGGCTCCCTTAGGGTTGTTTGGAATTGTTCTCCCAGTTCAGTTGATGGCCAGAAGCTGGGTTACTGTACTTTGAGCTCTGAAGTTGCCAGAAACAACTCCAACCACTGAGCTACTGAAGGCTTATCTTATTTTATAAAGCTGTCTTCAGAGATGGATAGTTGTAGAGCTAGCAAAGTGCTAAGCCTTCATTATTATATAAATACCATTCAGATATACTTTACTTGAAGGTCAGAAATGATGGCTGGTTCAGAATACACTTTTCCATGACTTGGATTTTTTTTTAAAATTGCTGATATGAGTAGAAAGTCAATAATCCTGATTCTAAAAGAGTACCTTTTCCTTTGAAATGGTTGTATCATCAAGTAGTTTATTATTCCACAAAAATCTGGCCTGTGTTTTATGAGATTTATATTGCTCTGTTTAATGAGATTAATACTACTATACAATCTATATTTAAAATGTTTAAAAAGAACCTTTTACAAGATGCTGAAAGACATATTTATTATTTTGTTATATCTACTTTCTAAAATATGAGAAAATACTGTAGCTAAATAGCTGCTCTTTCCGTCAGGCCTGTATATGGTAATAGATGCTACCTTAGATTTCACAGTTTGATAAAAAGCTTTGTTACAGTAGAGAGGCATTGGGATTTAATCTCACTACATATTAAGGAAGAATGCAAGTAGGAATACTGTGTCTTACTTGCTTGTTGAATCCAAAAAAACAAAATCTCAAAGATTCATAAGTCATGGAGAGAACCAAACCTGTAAAATAGATCTTACTTGTAAAAAATTTTCCTTACTTGTTAATGATCATCTCAGAAATAGAGCTATGCAGATTGGGGTGGAAGGTGAATTTTAACATCAATTATATTATAAATTACTGGATATAATTCTTTTACTAATGAAAATAAATTACACTGACACATGAAATGATTACTAACAGAGCAATGTTCAAATCAGTGTTGCTTGGATGAAGTGATCATTATGGTCCAAGTGCAAATATATAATTTTCGGTTATCTGTGTGACTTACTGATTTCATAGATTTAGGAAGAGTTTTGTAGAGTACCAACTGCTGGCCATCACTATTCCTTTTTCCTTCACTTAAGACCATGGTACATTTTCTTTATTGTTCAGCTTCCAAAAGTTAGAGAGGAGTAAAAATTAGACTGTTGCTACTCACAACAGAGTACATACTACTAGGAAGATAGATCAATGAGAACTAAAAATATATGTTTTTATTTTCAGTCTCCTAAAATTAAACTTCTAGACACTGGAAATTTTGGACTATTTTGTGAAGTTTTTGTGTTTTTTAATTTTTTCTTATTCCTTAGGACATAGCATTGTTAGATAAAGGTCTTAGTGAAAGTTAGCAGGAAGAGGAAATTGTACTCAAATAAGTTAACTTTTCTTCTGATCATTTTAATATATACAGTTTGTTCATGGAAAAAACTAAAATTTAGAAAAAGTTTTTTTTTTAAATTTCTGTTGTCTGTTATCTCTAGTTCCAACCAGTGTAGGAATTTGGGGATTAAGTAATGAATAGAAATTGTGATAGTTATGTGTGTGTCCCTTGTAAAATAGTTATTTTAATGCTATTGCTACCTCTTAGCTTATAACATACTCTTCAATGTGCAGAAATTTTGCTGAGAATTGGATGTAGTGTCAGTTTTTTTGAATATTATTGAATTTACCTACCCACCTTATGTTTCTTAACAAAAGCATATAATACTCCCAACTGCATTTCAACTAATTTCTGTTATGTTCTGAACTTACATGGTTTTAAATACTTGGAAGACTTATAGTAATTCTCTACTTGTGACAAGTAAAAACAAGAAAACAGTTGTCTAAATAGCTTCAATTTTTTTCTGGCATTTTGGTGTTATCTACCTGATGATAGCTTGGGAATTAGTTACACCTTTGCCAAAAACTTCTAAAAAAAAAACCAGTATGAGCTGTAATATACAGGACATCAGTTTGTTTTTATTTTAATTTTTTCCCCAGTTAGAGGTGCATGTTACAGCTTACCATTGTGGTCATCGTGGTTCATTTCATTAAGCTTCTTGTTCTATCTGCTTTCTTGAGACTTGGGAAACAGTATTTTTCTGAGTGATTGTACTATATTGTTCCAAATATAAGGCCACCCAGAATAGAAGGCAACCTCCAACTAGAAACAGCTCAAATATGGAGAAAGGCTGGGGGCCCAGAGCCCGGCGGGTCTTGCAGTGGTGGCAAGGGTGCCGTGGAGTAGGACGATGCCTGCCTGCGCTCCCGGTGAGTGAAGATGAGTCAGCTGCTGCTGCATTTGCTTGTGCATAACCAGACGGCTTCTGCTGCTAGAGGAAAAGTTACACTGGGGGGTAGAGAACAATTCCATACACATGAAAGAACATTACTCTGTGTCTAAATCTGGGGAGGGAGAATGGGAGTAGAGTCATTTCCTAAACAATTATCTTCAGGGTTTTTCTCCTGAACCTGGAGGTGAAAGTTGAGAAACCCCAAACACAGGAGAAGATCAAAGGCACCCTGCACCTTCCATGAAAAGGAGTTTAAAAGATCAGTGACCATGAAATGAATTATTAGACACCATCAGATGTCTGTAGACCAGCCCAGAAAATTATTGCTTGCCCTTAGAAATTGACCGCTGACCCAAGAGGTCATGCTTGCACTATGTGATCATGTGTAGCTTGAAAACAAGCAACCCTGAAGCTGAAAGTTGTATTTCCAATTTCATTAAAACGTTCCTCTTCTTAAACTCCCTATCTCCTGAGCCAGCCAAGTTACAATTTAAATAAATGTGCTTAATCTTATTGACATAAACTCCAAGGGTCTGTTTAAAATCCTTTGTTGTTCTGGTATTTCATTCAATAGCATATTTTAAAAAAATACTTCAGTGAGAATGTATTAGTCAACTGAGAATGTGTATTGATTGAACCTAGATAAATCTTCAAATATTTGTCTTATTCTACTAAGAACACAGAAATCTAACCTTTTATTTCATAGTAACTTAATGAGATGTGCTAGAATGAGATTTTCGATTCTGTTATAATCAGAAAACTATTTAGCACCTGTTAATGTACAACTTTTCAGGCCTTTGGTTCCCTTTGCAGCTTCACAGAAAACACAGAAGCTATGAACCTTGATCTTTCTGGTGAATACTAGTCTATGGTTTACACAGCAAATTTGAATGTCTGTAGACCAGCCCAGAAAATTAATCCCTGAATGCTAAGTTTTCCACACTATGTAATTCCTGTTTTAGCCATTATTATTATTACTACTACTAATACAATTATTATTATTTTAAGGAAACTTCTTTAATAAAAGTGGGTTTTCTTCTGCCTAGATTAAGGGTAGAGCAAACCTTTCCTTACCTATAAACAATGGTAAGTTGTCCAGAGGATTTTGTTTAGGTATGCTATTTATCATTGATTTTAGAAACTCTCTTACGTCAAATGCCCTGAAAGATAGAGGCCCCATTCTCAGGCAAAAGCATTCTAGGATTGATATGCCTGCTATTTTGCTAGGTCTGGAAAGGCAATGTTTGAAACAGAAGGGCTGAACACAAAAGGGTTTGAAAGGAAGAAGTGGAAAGGAGGGTAGCCACAGTGGCAAGGACTATTGCCTGCCAGGTTAGATCACCGGTCAGAGGAAAACCAGCACTGCATGGTGGATCCTAATTGAGAGGTTCGAAGTGAAGTCTACATAACCTCAAAAGCCTGTTCAAAAGAGTTCATAGGGTGGTACCAGGAGGGAAGAACAGTAGAAGAGGAACTATTCAGAGAAGAGCTTCTTTTATTAACTCTTTCACTTTGGAAACATACGGTCCTTGAAGAGAAAGAGGATGTCTAAAATTTGGTGATGGGGTTGAGGAGAGGGTGTACCCCTTTAAGCCATCTTTAAATTTAAAATAATTTCCCTTCCAGTATTTGTGTCACTATTATGTCTGATTTAACCTGAATTAGGAATACAGGAAAACATGAATTGTTTTTTTTTCCTAGAGGGGTTGGGGGTTACCATAATTGGCTGTCCTGTGTCATCACCTACCAGTAATTAAATCATTCGTAACAACGAAGGACAGAGCTGGAGAGGTGACCAAAGTGTCATATTCTGCAGCTTCCTCTCCTTCGTGGCTAGTAAGGGTATGGGCACCACCTGATTTTATTGCATAACTCTTTAAACAAGGAAAAGAATACGGCCTCAGTGGGCTTTTGAGATGGCAAGGATAGCCTTCAAGGACATGAGCAGAAATAACAGTGACAAGGAAGGCGAGAAAATCTTCCAAACTGCATAACTAATAACCTTTTAAAAATAAATAAGAATTACCAGTTTCTCTCCAAATAGCATGGTTTACATGAAACCCAGATCTATAGCCTTGCTGTGCTCAGCTTCTCTCTCCCATTCCTAAAATGCACAATATAGAAATAGATGCTAGAAAATAAATGTCCCAAGCCACAGTTGTTTCTTCTGTTTATGAATCCACACAATGATGTACCTTCAGTGTCCCTTCTTACAGGATTAGATTCATAGGACCAAGCTAAATGAACCAGTTATTATTTGATTAAGCATGAAAAAACCCTGTAGATTTGTTGATGGACAGAGATGAAAATCTCTCAGACCCTCTGAGTTTAACAAGCTCCATAAAAACAGGTTTGGAAAATGCCTGTTAGACTACTTTTTCTAGAAGGTAGATAACTGCCACTCTTTTTCTTCCCTGATCTATTAATCTCTTCCCAAGCAACCCCTAGAGAAGGTGCAGTTTTTACTTTTCCAATTCCTGTATGGGTGACTGTGACCTCACAGGTCAAATTAATCATGCCCAAGTTCTGATTTTTCAGCAGTTAAGGTGAAGAGGCACTAAACTACAAATACATAATTTATTATTTTTTTTCATTTTCAAAATGACCAAAAATAAGAGAATTTTTCTTTAAAGAAAATGTTGGATTTAGTTAAATCTCTTGGAAAATGCTCTACCATAGGTCTTTCTCTCAAAGAAGGGTTTTATAGGAGTCAGTTTCTACAGACCAAGAATGTGATGTGTCTGCATTTTATGAGACATGAATGTCTTGCTGAAGAAGCATGTTTAAGTCAGCTGTGGAGTAACTCACAAATTCCTTACTCTTGAGTATCTCTATACTTTCAAAAATCATTCTTGAAATATTCTTAATGGGCATTCTTTGGGGGCATTGCTCTCTTTGCTAAATCAGAAATGACATCTGGATATGCACAGAAATGGCTCTTGGTTAAGATTTCTTGCTGGTCAGGCAGCAAGTGAATTCCAATTAACAGGCTGATAGAATCTTAGGATAGGATAGAAAAAAATGAACAAAATGGATAATTTTCATTTGGCAGTGAAATTGAATATTGAATGACATCTATACAGTTGTAAACGACTTTTGTTTTAATAACAAAGTTGTTGATTTTCTACTAAGGGTTCTTTTAGGTTGTCATCAGGGGCTGATGGGAGTAACAGTTCACCCAACTCTCCAGCTAGCTTCAGTGGACATACCACACCTTCTCAGCAGCCTGAACCCGTGGTACATTCTCTTAAGGTAACCAATTGTGTACAACTATTTATCCAGAACTTAAGTTGTGTTGTGGCTTGTTTGCTGTAGTCTAGTAGTCCTCACAGTCTTGTTTTAACCATAGATTCTTTATTGTTTGACCTCTTACAGTATAACTTTCTTTATCTTCATTTTTGAAGTATGACTTTATTTTTTTTTTATAAATTAACAATGGGTTTGAGTACTTATGGTTGAATTTCTAGTTTGATCATTTTGTTTTTAGTAATTGTGATTCATATCTATCTGCATCGAAGTTGAAGTCTGATGTGCATGTCTATCCATATATGTAAAATATTGTTACAGGTATTTTATGTGCAGTGTTTGTAGCATGCTTGTCTTCAAATACAGACAGTTAATAGTTGGCCAAAATAAGGAAGGATACCAGATTTTTCTTTTGTTATGTAGCTGAAGTGCATTGTACAACTTCCTAAAAGTATTGAAATAAACTAAAACCTACTCTATCCTTCATTAAATAAAAATAAGGTTTTCAAACTGTAGCTTCTTTATGGAGTATTAGGAAGTAGGTGTATGGTATTACTCATAAAGCTATTTTATTTTTTGCTTTCACTTAAAATATGGCAATCATTTCCAAAAAGATTTGGCTGAAATGTATCATTTATTTTTCTTTACCAGTAATAAGCTTTCTAATAAATAAAAATAAATAAGCACTATAAATAAAACTAATAATAAACAATGAATGCAAATATTTACCTAAGGGAAGAAACTGATGAGGCAGTAAAAATCATCTTAAAAATTGTGACAGTACCTTGAAGTTTTATCAGTTCCAACGTTATAAAGCCCTGTCCTTCAAATTATTTATAATTCCTAACATGTAGCTTTGATCAAATCTTTCAGAGCCATAAAGCAGGTAGAGCGCTTCAGTTCTGTGCTTGCCACATGAGTTTCCCAACTTGCCTAAAATTGTTTTGGTTTCAGAATTATTTATCAACAGCCTGAATATGCATTCTTATGGAGTGGGCCAAGTTTTCCTTGTCATGCATAAAGCAAATAAATAGATGAAAACTTCAAAATATTTATTTGATTTGGGGGAGATTTGGTTTTAGCAGATTTAGCTCCCTCTTCTATTTTGCTGTAACTTAGACAAAATGCGTTTCCTTATTCCAAGCATATACTACTGATTCTTCAGAGGGAAGGTAGCAGAACCATGCAGGTGGCCAGTGGCAGTGCACTTGGCATTTCCTGTCTTGACTGGGACAACTCACAAAGTGAGCAACTGAAAGGACTCATGAGAAGGCACACTCGTAGGAGGGGCGCTGCCCTGTGTCTGGTGCATGCTGGCTTAATGACTAACATCTTGGTCTCTGCAGTAGCTTTTGGATACTGTTTAGCATGCTGTTTCTGTAGCATGAATCAGGCCCTAGCTATCTGAACAACATTTTAGAAATGAAAAATGAGAGAGTGGCTTCAATCCTGTAGTATTAATTTCTGCACATACTCAAAAACAATACATTTCCGTACTTTTCAAATTGAAAGTTGTTTTGGACTGTTGCCTTTTTAAATGACAAGTGTGATATCTGATCAGCATAGTAGATAGCATTGCAGTCTTTCCCAAATTTCTCTGTGCAGCTGTGTTAAGATGGCCTAAAAGGAAGGGGAAGGCAAGGAGGAGCTCTTCAATTTTCTCTGAATTCATTCTCTAATTTTCATATAAAATTTTATCTCAAGAGAGGATAATATTATATTATAATCAGAATACATAAGTGTCCTCTGTTGGCAGATGGGTAATAGTGAGCAACTGAAGCATTTTTATTGGATAACTGAAGGCCCTTGAGTATAGAATGTGTTTGCTTCCATGAGTTAACCGTGTTGTGAAACAGAAATATGTGCAAACATTGCCTATGGGAAATGCATCCTAACAGTATCTCAATGTAGAAAAAAGAAATGTAGCCACTCAGCATGTTTTGTTTTTAAAAGCCACTGATCTAGACTGATTTATATTAAGACTTCTCTGTTTTGAAAAAAATAATTAGAACAATGGCTCAGTTTCTCATTTTTAATAGATTTTTTTTAAAAAAAACCTCTATGCTTTAATAAAACTATGCTCATGGATTTGGGGGAAAAATTACAAAGCAGTGTGAGAAATTAACCCACTTGTAATAACACCACATTTTCCTTGCTTTAAAATTTTTGACAACTATTAATTGGAGCTTCACTTAATTTAGTATAAATTAACTGATTTGAAGTACACTTCTCTGAGATGCATTATAAATTGAATTTGTAGGCAAATGAGTTCCAGGAGTTCTTTAAGTTTCTATGAATATTCACTGAGCATAGTCAATGATTTCCTCTAAGTATGTAAAGAATGTGAACTGACTCTAATATGAGTTGTGTACCAAGGTGAGGCTTTTTCATTTACTATTGTCATATCCTACTTTAAAGGCATAGTGTCTTTATAGTAATAATAACTAGAAGTTTTGACTTAACTAGAGTAGTTTATGAATTAGATTTATTTATTATAGGATTGAACTCTGGAAATATCAATATATTCTCAGTATCTATGAACTTGACATAAAGGTCCCATGTCATGTTTAAGTCATTTATTTTGGCTCAACTGTTCATTGGTGCAAATTCTTAGGTGACACCATTAGGTGTGGCTATCAGCATTGACCATGACAACAGAACCAAGGAGTTTAGCGGTGTCACAGTTCAGCAGGGATTCTACAGGAGTTTTTAGGAAAACCACTAGTGTTTTATGCTTACATTAATGCTTTGACTTATAATCTGATATGGAGAAAAATAATGAATAGCACTCAAAGCTGAAGTTTTGTCCCCTCTTGTACAATAACAAGTAATGAAATGAAAACTTCATAAATATTTTTAAAGAAATTATTTTAAAATCATTTAGAGATAATTTAAAGAAGTAGAATCTTTGCCCTCTAAAATTATTTACAAGCATCTCATCCCCACTTTGCTCTGATGAAAAATACTTGAAGTGTAGTTCAACCATTTTCATTATAAGGAGTCAGTGTTTCTTTTTGCTGCTTACTATCAAAAAGCTGCCACCAGAGTCCTTTCCTAGACTCTCGGAACACATCCAGGCAAAAACTGTAAAGTCAGTAGCATTAATGTTAACAAGAATTCCTACATACGTATTCCTGAGTTCTGACCAGTTTTACCTGTCACTATCATCTATTTTAGTCATCTTTTATATAGGCCATGTCTACATATCATTTGGAATATTTGGCATATAATTAATTATGTTGCTTATCTTAACAATGGAGCAAGAATTATTTACTGTCTCCAAGTGGTTGACAGCTTATCTTAATAACCCAATTAACTAAATGCATCTAATTAATTTAGACATTAATGAATTCAATTGACTATTAGTGATGCAATAGATGGCATTTAACAGTCTTTTGAAAATCAGGTAGAATTGATTCATGATAGGTTTTAGAACAATCAATTATTGTAAAAGATTTTGCCATATACTAATCCACTCTGATATGCAGACACTGAAAAAACTAACGGTTTTACAAAGTGGAGCTCATTGATGGTTTTATTCATAACTAACAAGTTTTTTATCATGTGAAATTTGCTTTTCTTTTTCAAAAAATCCAGGTCTTGGATGTTCAGGAAACTATAGATCGTCAACAGGGTAAAGAGTATGAAAATGACCTTAGTGAGACAGAAAAAGCTATAGTCAGAGAAATGTGCAATGTAAGTTTAATGTGCTTTATTCTGTATTTTGTGTTGAAAGCCTCATCATAGCTTAGTTATTGCTTTGTGAATACCCACTTTTTAAAATGCTGGCCAAATGCCATTATATTTTATATGAAAATAAAACCAATTCCCCTTGTTTTTATCTTTAATATATTTTATTACAGTTTTATTACAATAATCATATTATAAAATATTCAGGTAAGCAATAATCAGCCAATTCTATATTCCAGAATGATCTGTGAAAGTTTTAAAATAATAAATTTACTGTCTAAAATGTTGTATCACTAGTTTTGATAAATGGGTTTTGTTTTATACTTCTCAAGTACCTTAAAGGTCAATGTTTAAAAGCCTGTGATAAAGAAAACACAGCCTTCTTCAGATGTATTTATAAATGTACTTGAAAAAAATCTTAAAGGTAGTATTTGCTTAGTTCTTCATGCATATAGCATGTGTGCTTCATGTCGTGCAAAGTAGTATCTTAGTAGTTCCTGATATAAGCTCAGAGAACAGTAAGAGGAGATGGATAAGAACTTAAAAGAGACACATAGAAATCTATGAAGTCAGAGAGGAACACAGTAAACATTGACATGCCATTTTCATGATGCATATCCTCTGTAATCATTAATGTGGCTTGGATTTTATCATTAATCACTGACTAAATTTTAATTTTGGGGGTAATATGGATGGGTGTATCATTTAACCAAGAGTATAATTTGTGAAGTTGATTAAGAAGGTAAATAGAATATTATAGAGGAACATATTTGTTAAAAGCAAAAATGTCACAGCAGATTATATTAAGCACTGATTTTAACTGTTTTTATATTGTACTTCTATCCTTATATTCTTGTCCATTACTATATCAAAATTTCTTTAAAAATACCCTTATGTTTTAGGCTATTAGAACCAGAATTCTCACTTACCAACCTCCTTGAGGTGTTCCTGGAATCCACTAAATGTTACATCATCAATCCTGTGGTCATTTTATAGCCTGGGCAACAATTTTAGTTTCCTGCTTGCTGTGTCATAGTTGTTTTCTTTTTCAGCCTTCTCCAGGTTATTTGTTTTTCTTTCCCACATATCTGTTTTTGTCTGTTTTCAAAAGGTCATTAGTTCTAGATACCATAATGCCTTAAATGCACCACTGTTCACCTTCTGTAGCTTTTCATCCTGTCCTTAAGATTTTAATTGACTATTTCCTTCAGGTAAATTTTAAAACTTAAGCCACACACCTAAGAATGGCTGTTGCTTCTCATCTGTTGACTAAGGAATGAGAAATAAAATACAAACATTAGGACTCTAGAACTAGAAGGGACCAGAGAGGTCATTCCCCAACAGTTCTCCAAAAACTAGTGTTAAAAGCTTTGTCATTTATAGATGTCTGGGTTCTGCCCCAGACCACAGGATACTTGGATAGGAATCCTGTGGTGAGAACCCAACACTCATGTTTGATGTTTGAAGAAACAAAGATTCCAAAATTGTTGACTTGCTCCACTTGTTCTCTAATGAACAGCATAGTCAGTAGCACACCCAAATCTCTTCCCAGAACTAGCTCTCCACCTTTCAGATCTGGTGAATCTGATGACTTCCATTTTCTTTCACCAAGGATGAAAAACAATGTGTCTTACAGAGGGGACCCTTTCCATTGGGCTTACTACCAGAATTTCTGTAAAGAACTGCGAGGATTATTTCTTTTCTTGCCTTTTTGTTTCAGATGAAAGATTTCTGGACATTAGAAAATTCATTTCTTAGTCACAGAAGAGACCTACTAATAGACTGGATCTTGATTAGTTCATGTTCTTTTCTTTGCCTGTATTTCCAAAAATGCTTTAAAAGGCCACATGTAGTGTGTTGTTGTTTTTCCTTATGTAATATACTCTCTTGAAGCCAAAACCTTGCTTGTCCTCCTCCTTTACCTTTAAAAGTTCTCTAGGGTACCTTTTCTAACTGTTGACTCTTACTTTTTGATCCCCAAAATCTGAGGAGAAAATGCAAGCCAGTCCAAATCTCAGAATTAGCACTGTTGTATTTGAAAACTATTTAAAAGCCAAGAAAGGAAAGTGTGGATTGAATATTTGTATCACCATTATATGTTATATGAACATTGAAAACACATAGCAAATATGGGAGAATAAAAAAAAATACAGATTGTGAGACATTTTCATAGATAATTTCTTAGAAATTAGCTAAGATTTTGAAACCTATCAGAAGAATTATGTGCTTTTATAATAATGTCACAAAAATGTGAAGTTTTCTCATAATATGAGATTGGTTAATAAGACTCAGGTAGAACAGGATGAAAGAATTTTGCCTCAGTTTTGGAGATAAGTTGTCAACATCTATACAATGAAAAGACTTATTCACAGTACAGTACCATCATGATGATTAGTAAGCATGAAATGCTTTATTCTCTCCCCAAAAAGTATCTCAGAAGTAAATACATTGTCCTCTAATAAACAGTAAATCTTTTTCTAGTAATATTTTTATTTTAGGTTTGTCTGTTTGGCTCTTGTAAGTTCCCTGAGAACAATCGAAATACATGACTGGTCATCCCAGTCACAACCTCAGACACCTATGTACAGCCTGAATATGCATTCTTATGGAGTGGGCCAAGTTTTCCTTGTCATGCATAAAGCAAATAAATAGATGAAAACTTCAAAATATTTATTTGATTTGGGGGAGATTTGGTTTTAGCAGATTTAGCTCCCTCTTCTATTTTGCTGTAACTTAGACAAAATGCGTTTCCTTATTCCAAGCATATACTACTGATTCTTCAGAGGGAAGGTAGCAGAACCATGCAGGTGGCCAGTGGCAGTGCACTTGGCATTTCCTGTCTTGACTGGGACAACTCACAAAGTGAGCAACTGAAAGGACTCATGAGAAGGCACACTCGTAGGAGGGGCGCTGCTCTGCGTCTGGTGCATGCTGGCTTAATGACTAACATCTTGGTCTCTGCAGTAGCTTTTGGATACTGTTTAGCATGCTGTTTCTGTAGCATGAATCAGGCCCTAGCTATCTGAACAACATTTTAGAAATGAAAAATGAGAGAGTGGCTTCAATCCTGTAGTATTAATTTCTGCACATACTCAAAAACAATACATTTCCGTACTTTTCAAATTGAAAGTTGTTTTGGACTGTTGCCTTTTTAAATGACAAGTGTGATATCTGATCAGCATAGTAGATAGCATTGCAGTCTTTCCCAAATTTCTCTGTGCAGCTGTGTTAAGATGGCCTAAAAGGAAGGGGAAGGCAAGGAGGAGCTCTTCAATTTTCTCTGAATTCATTCTCTAATTTTCATATAAAATTTTATCTCAAGAGAGGATAATATTATATTATAATCAGAATACATAAGTGTCCTCTGTTGGCAGATGGGTAATAGTGAGCAACTGAAGCATTTTTATTGGATAACTGAAGGCCCTTGAGTATAGAATGTGTTTGCTTCCATGAGTTAACCGTGTTGTGAAACAGAAATATGTGCAAACATTGCCTATGGGAAATGCATCCTAACAATATCTCAATGTAGAAAAAAGAAATGTAGCCACTCAGCATGTTTTGTTTTTAAAAGCCACTGATCTAGACTGATTTATATTAAGACTTCTCTGTTTTGAAAAAAATAATTAGAACAATGGCTCAGTTTCTCATTTTTAATAGATTTTTTTTAAAAAAACCTCTATGCTTTAATAAAACTATGCTCATGGATTTGGGGGAAAAATTACAAAGCAGTGTGAGAAATTAACCCACTTGTAATAACACCACATTTTCCTTGCTTTAAAATTTTTGACAACTATTAATTGGAGCTTCACTTAATTTAGTATAAATTAACTGATTTGAAGTACACTTCTCTGAGATGCATTATAAATTGAATTTGTAGGCAAATGAGTTCCAGGAGTTCTTTAAGTTTCTATGAATATTCACTGAGCATAGTCAATGATTTCCTCTAAGTATGTAAAGAATGTGAACTGACTCTAATATGAGTTGTGTACCAAGGTGAGGCTTTTTCATTTACTATTGTCATATCCTACTTTAAAGGCATAGTGTCTTTATAGTAATAATAACTAGAAGTTTTGACTTAACTAGAGTAGTTTATGAATTAGATTTATTTATTATAGGATTGAACTCTGGAAATATCAATATATTCTCAGTATCTATGAACTTGACATAAAGGTCCCATGTCATTTTTAAGTCATTTATTTTGGCTCAACTGTTCATTGGTGCAAATTCTTAGGTGACACCATTAGGTGTGGCTATCAGCATTGACCATGACAACAGAACCAAGGAGTTTAGCGGTGTCACAGTTCAGCAGGGATTCTACAGGAGTTTTTAGGAAAACCACTAGTGTTTTATGCTTACATTAATGCTTTGACTTATAATCTGATATGGAGAAAAATAATGAATAGCACTCAAAGCTGAAGTTTTGTCCCCTCTTGTACAATAACAAGTAATGAAATGAAAACTTCATAAATATTTTTAAAGAAATTATTTTAAAATCATTTAGAGATAATTTAAAGAAGTGGAATCTTTGCCCTCTAAAATTATTTACAAGCATCTCATCCCCACTTTGCTCTGATGAAAAATACTTGAAGTGTAGTTCAACCATTTTCATTATAAGGAGTCAGTGTTTCTTTTTGCTGCTTACTATCAAAAAGCTGCCACCAGAGTCCTTTCCTAGACTCTCGGAACACATCCAGGCAAAAACTGTAAAGTCAGTAGCATTAATGTTAACAAGAATTCCTACATACGTATTCCTGAGTTCTGACCAGTTTTACCTGTCACTATCATCTATTTTAGTCATCTTTTATATAGGCCATGTCTACATATCATTTGGAAGATTTGGCATATAATTAATTATGTTGCTTATCTTAACAATGGAGCAAGAATTATTTACTGTCTCCAAGTGGTTGACAGCTTATCTTAATAACCCAATTAACTAAATGCATCTAATTAATTTAGACATTAATGAATTCAATTGACTATTAGTGATGCAATAGATGGCATTTAACAGTCTTTTGAAAATCAGGTAGAATTGATTCATGATAGGTTTTAGAACAATCAATTATTGTAAAAGATTTTGCCATATACTAATCCACTCTGATATGCAGACACTGAAAAAACTAACGGTTTTACAAAGTGGAGCTCATTGATGGTTTTATTCATAACTAACAAGTTTTTTATCATGTGAAATTTGCTTTTCTTTTTCAAAAAATCCAGGTCTTGGATGTTCAGGAAACTATAGATCGTCAACAGGGTAAAGAGTATGAAAATGACCTTAGTGAGACAGAAAAAGCTATAGTCAGAGAAATGTGCAATGTAAGTTTAATGTGCTTTATTCTGTATTTTGTGTTGAAAGCCTCATCATAGCTTAGTTATTGCTTTGTGAATACCCACTTTTTAAAATGCTGGCCAAATGCCATTATATTTTATATGAAAATAAAACCAATTCCCCTTGTTTTTATCTTTAATATATTTTATTACAGTTTTATTACAATAATCATATTATAAAATATTCAGGTAAGCAATAATCAGCCAATTCTATATTCCAGAATGATCTGTGAAAGTTTTAAAATAATAAATTTACTGTCTAAAATGTTGTATCACTAGTTTTGATAAATGGGTTTTGTTTTATACTTCTCAAGTACCTTAAAGGTCAATGTTTAAAAGCCTGTGATAAAGAAAACACAGCCTTCTTCAGATGTATTTATAAATGTACTTGAAAAAAATCTTAAAGGTAGTATTTGCTTAGTTCTTCATGCATATAGCATGTGTGCTTCATGTCGTGCAAAGTAGTATCTTAGTAGTTCCTGATATAAGCTCAGAGAACAGTAAGAGGAGATGGATAAGAACTTAAAAGAGACACATAGAAATCTATGAAGTCAGAGAGGAACACAGTAAACATTGACATGCCATTTTCATGATGCATATCCTCTGTAATCATTAATGTGGCTTGGATTTTATCATTAATCACTGACTAAATTTTAATTTTGGGGGTAATATGGATGGGTGTATCATTTAACCAAGAGTATAATTTGTGAAGTTGATTAAGAAGGTAAATAGAATATTATAGAGGAACATATTTGTTAAAAGCAAAAATGTCACAGCAGATTATATTAAGCACTGATTTTAACTGTTTTTATATTGTACTTCTATCCTTATATTCTTGTCCATTACTATATCAAAATTTCTTTAAAAATACCCTTATGTTTTAGGCTATTAGAACCAGAATTCTCACTTACCAACCTCCTTGAGGTGTTCCTGGAATCCACTAAATGTTACATCATCAATCCTGTGGTCATTTTATAGCCTGGGCAACAATTTTAGTTTCCTGCTTGCTGTGTCATAGTTGTTTTCTTTTTCAGCCTTCTCCAGGTTATTTGTTTTTCTTTCCCACATATCTGTTTTTGTCTGTTTTCAAAAGGTCATTAGTTCTAGATACCATAATGCCTTAAATGCACCACTGTTCACCTTCTGTAGCTTTTCATCCTGTCCTTAAGATTTTAATTGACTATTTCCTTCAGGTAAATTTTAAAACTTAAGCCACACACCTAAGAATGGCTGTTGCTTCTCATCTGTTGACTAAGGAATGAGAAATAAAATACAAACATTAGGACTCTAGAACTAGAAGGGACCAGAGAGGTCATTCCCCAACAGTTCTCCAAAAACTAGTGTTAAAAGCTTTGTCATTTATAGATGTCTGGGTTCTGCCCCAGACCACAGGATACTTGGATAGGAATCCTGTGGTGAGAACCCAACACTCATGTTTGATGTTTGAAGAAACAAAGATTCCAAAATTGTTGACTTGCTCCACTTGTTCTCTAATGAACAGCATAGTCAGTAGCACACCCAAATCTCTTCCCAGAACTAGCTCTCCACCTTTCAGATCTGGTGAATCTGATGACTTCCATTTTCTTTCACCAAGGATGAAAAACAATGTGTCTTACAGAGGGGACCCTTTCCATTGGGCTTACTACCAGAATTTCTGTAAAGAACTGCGAGGATTATTTCTTTTCTTGCCTTTTTGTTTCAGATGAAAGATTTCTGGACATTAGAAAATTCATTTCTTAGTCACAGAAGAGACCTACTAATAGACTGGATCTTGATTAGTTCATGTTCTTTTCTTTGCCTGTATTTCCAAAAATGCTTTAAAAGGCCACATGTAGTGTGTTGTTGTTTTTCCTTATGTAATATACTCTCTTGAAGCCAAAACCTTGCTTGTCCTCCTCCTTTACCTTTAAAAGTTCTCTAGGGTACCTTTTCTAACTGTTGACTCTTACTTTTTGATCCCCAAAATCTGAGGAGAAAATGCAAGCCAGTCCAAATCTCAGAATTAGCACTGTTGTATTTGAAAACTATTTAAAAGCCAAGAAAGGAAAGTGTGGATTGAATATTTGTATCACCATTATATGTTATATGAACATTGAAAACACATAGCAAATATGGGAGAATAAAAAAAAATACAGATTGTGAGACATTTTCATAGATAATTTCTTAGAAATTAGCTAAGATTTTGAAACCTATCAGAAGAATTATGTGCTTTTATAATAATGTCACAAAAATGTGAAGTTTTCTCATAATATGAGATTGGTTAATAAGACTCAGGTAGAACAGGATGAAAGAATTTTGCCTCAGTTTTGGAGATAAGTTGTCAACATCTATACAATGAAAAGACTTATTCACAGTACAGTACCATCATGATGATTAGTAAGCATGAAATGCTTTATTCTCTCCCCAAATAGTATCTCAGAAGTAAATACATTGTCCTCTAATAAACAGTAAATCTTTTTCTAGTAATATTTTTATTTTAGGTTTGTCTGTTTGGCTCTTGTAAGTTCCCTGAGAACAATCGAAATACATGACTGGTCATCCCAGTCACAACCTCAGACACCTATGTATTCTGCTTTTTCAGTTAACAAGTTAACAAGTTACTACTCCGTCCGTGTCCACCTCGGTATCATTATCATTGTCTTTCTTGAGAGTTCTACCCTTTCTGAGTTTCCTTTCCCCATCTAGTCATTTCAGGGTGAAGACCCATTGCATACTGCATTTGAAGGCTTGAAGAAGGACTGTGCTTTTGAGTTGTAACCGTCTAATAATATCTTGTGTCCTAATAATATCTATGATCCTTTAAGGTCTTTGAGTCTATCCTTTGCTTCTAAACTAGACATTCAGAGTGTCCTGGGTAGATGTATATACCATTATGGCTGGAAAGGAGAGTTACAGCATCCCTTGGCTCCCTGATTCTGTATTTGTACCTCTTTGCAATCAATTTATTAAGAAATGAGACCTTCCTAAATCCTTATATACAGCTTGAGTCATCCATTGCTATGTCATTTCCTTTCTAAATATTTAAGCACCATAACTACATCTCCCTTCAAATATGACAGAACATTTCTACCATATAATAGTGTCTGTTACATAGGAACTCATATTTCTATTGGCTTAGAAATGAAGATAGACAGAACCTTGCATTTTTATGTATTGCTATGAATAGTATTGGGTTTCCTACAGTATCTGGCCTACTTTAAGAAAGACAAAAAAAGAAACACAGTCCAACAATAATTAATGAATTCATTGATTAATGGTTCATGTTAGAGCAATGTATATTTTTGTGGAATTTATCAATCTGAACATAATCCTTATAGTGAAGCATTATAAGAGGGATATGACTTATTTTTTGTGGTTGTGTTAGTGCGCGTGTGTTTTCCAATTAAGGTTAGTCTATTGGTATATCATTGGCAAATTCAGTGGTTTTACTTTACACTTACGTTATTCCTAATCTCACTTCTTGCTGTTATCCTGATAAAATGGTCCAATTTGTAGAATATTGTTATATCTATTTCAGTGATTCTTGAATTTATTCTTATCTTTTCCCTGTATTTGGATGGTTTTTGTTTTGGTAATCTGAGAGATCATACTTTTTGGGAGCTAAGATTTATGATGATGGAAGCCCACAGTCTGTGGAGAAAACCAGGTAAATTTATTGGTAGCTCTAATAACGCTCCCAGCTGAAGATGTAAACAAAAAGCTTGTTCAGTTTCCTTAGTGGATTCAACATTTTGGTAACCCTTGTTATGGATGTATAATATAGAAAGGCAGAATGATTTGTTCATGTGTTCTTACTTCTTGCTACACATTAGTATCATATTGGTAGCTTTAAAAAAATACAGATGACCGGGCCTCACCTCCACCAGTGCAGTCAGTCTCGGAGGGTGGGAGTTATTGTTTAAGAGTCCTCCAAGTGTGCAGTATGCAGAGCTGAGGACCACCATGCACCTAGAGTAAGTTGGCACATCATTCTTCAGTTCCGACACTTACTGAGATCTGGTAGTCCCATCTACTGGACAGTTCTTGTGACTTAGAAACTTGCCTCACATTTCATTTGCTTGTGTTTCATTCAGCTCATTCGTGTGGATATTTTGTCTCTTTTCTTCACATTCCTCTTTGCCTCTCTCATAGATCCCTTCTGAAAAGCCGCAATCTTTTTGTGGACAGGACAGTTAAGAAGCTTATTCTTTTTTCTCCTTTCTTTCTTTCTAAAGGTTGTATGGAGGAAACTTGGAGATGCTGCAGGTTCGTGTCCTGGAATTAGGCAACATTTGTCTGGAAACCAGTACAAAGGACCAATGTGAGACACACTTTTTCGAAAAACATGAGATCACCACTGCCAGAGAGAAATAAAAGAAGAAAAGAATGAATTTCCACAAACCTGGACTCATGGAATAACATGGTGTGATTGTACATTGCACATATTTCACCCCTAAAACCTTTAGCATAGCTAACGCTATATTTTATCTTTCTCACTTTGAAGTCCACAGCAGTCAATCTCAAACAAGGTAGCTTTGAAAAGATCACAATTTTGGTACCAGTATTTTCATTAGAACTAACACATTTTTGATTCCTCAGATCTAAGACTGTAATTGGGAAACCTGCATGACTGGAAGAGTCCAATAGAGCATCCATAGTTTATAGAGTTGACTCAGTGCATATAATGGTGAGTTTTCTACCATGTTGTATTGACAGTAAGAAGAGGTGTCTTCTAGCTTCCCAAGTTTGAGAATTGGGCACCTATTTCTTACATTTTAGTCAACAATTACTACTTTCTGCACTTGTACCACTTTCAGAAATTGTAATTTCTGATGTGTAATTAATTTGGGTACAAGTAAAATTAGATTTCTGGGATTTTATTTTCTTTTGACTTTTAAGGTGCTAAAAAAAATACTACATAAATTCTACTTACTATCTCTAAGGGTAGCATTATCAGAGGGTACCATTTATTTCAGTTGATCAAATAAATATCTTTTCTTCTAATCTTGAAGTATTGTTCATGAAGACCACATCTTGGGAACATTACCAACTTCCATATTCATTCAGTGTATCTGTTGATGTGTTAATACTAACAATTTCAATTAAAGAACAAGCAAACATAATTTTTCTAAGTGTTTCCAGTTGTATGATGTTAATTTCTACAGTTTAGTTTCTAGACATGCTGTTATATTTAATAAACTTTATGTAAACTTTAAAATATTTCACTGCATTTATGAAGAAAAGCTTTCTTTGCCTACAGCAGCTATCTAACATTTTAAGAAACTGACGCATGTCCTTCGTTATTGAGGCTTAAAGCTCTTTTCAGATTGCTTGAGGTTTGAAAAAGAGGTGTGCTAGCTTTGCTTAGTTTATCTCTTATTTTTGGTATATATATATATATAAATTATTATATATATATAATATTAGATTGTGTATATTGGAAATGCTATGATAGGTATTTTGTGTTTATTCATATGCAATGATAATTCCTTGTATGAATGTGCAAGAGGCCTGTGACAGAATGCTAAGTTTTTATTGCAGTTTAAGATTATAAAAGTAGGAATGCAACAATTCCCAGTTGGCAGATTTCTTCTAAAATACTCAGATTTGAATCATAGCAAATAGTAATCGTCATTGTTGTTTTTAAATAGGTTCATTGCACAGTGTATTAATTGTCAGTGCTGAAGGAATTTCTTTATACTTTCTAAAATGTTAGTGATGAAAAACCCGACCCCTCTGTTTTCAGAAAATATTTATGAATTAATTTACTATAGAATTATCTCCCTAATTATTGTAATTGGGTTACCATTTAAGCTTATCATTCTTTTAAAATGTTACATATTTTAAAAATATTATTACTCTGTAAAACAAAATTGCTTGCTATATTTACACCTTTTCTCATAGAAAATCTTTCATCCTCAAATTGTTGTATTCCTACAGTCTGAAGATTTAAAACAAATTTTTGTGCCTGCAGTAGAGCCTGCAGAAGCTAACACAAGGAACTGGTCTTTTGAGAAAATACTTGTGTAAATTTTGATACTGTATTAAAACTATTTTTTTAAAGTTCTGCATAAAATTGAGTATCAAGTAAATGTGTTCATCTTAGCAATAGTAATAAATTATTTAATCTCACAGTTTTTTTTCTTCAAAATGTTTCTCCTAAATTGAATAGATTTCTAATCATCACTAAATATCATAATGCCTCCTATATGATGGTGATAGTGGTAGTAATACAGTTGATTGATTATATTAAATATAAGACAAAGACATGTTTTTAAATATACTTATAATGAGAGATTTAATATTCAGAGATTCCTCAACTTACACTATTCTCTATTATAGTGTAGTTAAAAATTTAGAATGATATTTAACGATATTCTTAAATTAGTTATAAAATGTATCACTTGTTCTTTTAAATCATATAGATAAAAGTTAAAACTTAATTCAATTACTATTTTATTGAAACATTAGTCATCAAAAGGAAATATACTGGAGGGAGAAATTAGTACTAAAGAAATGGATTGGCCTCTATCCTTAAGAAGATTATACATTATTAGGGGGAGATGTAATGTATACACATGATTAAGACATAAATCGGAAAGCATACGTACACACATGCTCCGAGAACACTTATACTTCTTGGAAATCACTAATAAGACTGGAATGAGGCCTCCTACACTTAGCATTAGCCCTGAACTTAGCATTAAGGTTATAGCACATGCTCAAGACACTATAGAAAATTCAGATAATCTTCTGTGCCTTCTAGTAAGATATCACTGGATGTGAGAGTGTCATATATCACATTGGCTGGAGCCAATATGAAGTATGCTTTACTAAGTGCAGCACTGAAGGACGTTTGACTTAGCGAGGCAACCTTCGGGCCAGCAAGTTCAGCTTTTGACTCTACAATTAGCTCTGTGAATTTGAGCAACTTAACCTCACTGAGCCTGTGTGTTCTGAAGTGTCAAAGGAGATAACATCTATCTTGCTAAACTGTGGTAAGGTTCTTTATAGCCTCCCTAGTTCTAAGGTTTAATGGTCTTGACAATCCATAAGGAATGATGGCAAGTCTTCCAAGATGTAGGAGCCTAGACCCATGAGCTGTGGCAATTCATACCATTAGGCTGGGGAGGGAACCACACCAGTTCTGCAGGGTCTGTGTACCACAGAAAAAGGTCCTAGCTGCATTTACATATTTTCAAGTTCTGTTCTTTATTCATCATCCAAGACTATCACAGGCCTTGTTACAGCCAATCACTAATGCTTAGGGTGGGAGGTAAAAAGGGACATTGGTCTAATTCTCACATAGGAACAGTATGTTTGAAAAGAAAATTCCTACAACTATTTAATTCTGTATTTGTTTTTCATGTCATTGAAAACATTTGAGAATAAAGACTTTTGCTTCAAAATGGCAGCATTGGTACCTGCCGCAGCCGCCTCCTCTTGCTTTAAACCTGAAAAATGATCAAAAGATATTTAATAAATCCGTAATTCCACTACAACATAAGAAATAGTGTACTCTATAGACTAGCAGTTATGATGAATTCTTGAAAGACCAGAGACAAACAGTATCCAGTTGAAAGTGGATTCATAATTCAAGGTAGGGTATTATTAAAAAAGGAGGAATGGCTTTAAGGGTGTTCCCAAACACGGTAGAGTTTGATACATGCATTGGTTGGGATCCTGGGGTGACTGACAGTAGCCAGGCATTTTGATTTCTGCATTTAGTCTTTCCCTCCTTTGGTCAGGCAGAGAACAAATGAGATCATTCCTCCCAGGCCAAAGCAGAGAGTAAGTATGTTTGAACTGAGACACAGGGCAGAGTCTTCTTGTTGGTAACACCCAGAGGAAAAGGGATCCTCCAAGCTCAGATCATTAGCTATTGATAGTCTGCCAAAAAGTTTGTTCCACCATCTCTTTTATATTTAATTTAGAGAGGCAGAATTATTTCCAAACCCAGCATCCTGATGTGCTTCTTTAAGCAAGTTGTAGCATGAACCCAGCAAGTTAACAAGGAAATGTCAATAATAAGAGCACAGAACCAGGTATCACCCAAGGTTGGAGGGAAGCCATGGCTATGAATCAGAAGCACAAAACTCAACAAAGAAAGGAATGTATATCAAGAAAAAATTGAAATTAAGAGGACTTAAGAAGTATGGACTTTCAGAAAGATAATAAATAATGCATTCATTGAAGTGAATTTTACATCTTGGGAATAAAATGCAGATTGGGATAGCTTTTTTGCTTTTTGAGTTCCCTCTCTATGTTAGGTCTTTCCCACAGCCCATGCCTGTTCCTAAGATCTGCCAGTGTCCCCCAGATCAGCAATGGCTTGCTCAACATTGTAAATGTGTTGGTGCAAGACTGGCCTCAGCATGGGTTACAGCATCATGTACCAGGTGCTGGCAGCAGACTGGAGTGTCTTAGCTCATTCCTGTTGTGAATGTGGCTGGTCAGGGTCTTCAAAGACAGAGGCATAGATGGCCTGACTCATTCCCAATAATTCCCAAGAAGTTGTGCCTCCTGTATAGATTTTTAGGGTACCATATACCTAGGGAGATTCCCCCTCATTGGGCCAAGCCTCCTTACAGGCCAAAAGAATCCAATCTATAAAGAAGTGAGTACACTGAACCCCCTCCATTCCCTTACCCCCATCTCCATCACTCAGCAGGCATTGCCAGAAGGCAGGATGTGTAATGTTATCCATTTTTCCCTCCTCCTGACTGGTCAGAGAAATGCCATCGGTCCCTGTATCCCACAACCCACTACCCATATCTGGATACTTTCTTGGACTTCTGCTGGAACTTGGCAGCCACATCAATAAGCTCAACAAGAGAATATTCTCTCACCATAAATGTTTCCTGAGTCAGGGGGCTGCCCCACTGCCTGGGATTGCTGTTGCTGGGCTTCTTTTTCCCTTGCAAGAGGGGGGAGATGTGCTTCTTTAAGCAAGTTGTAGCATGAACCCAGCAAGTTAACAAGGAAATGTCAATAATAAGAGCACAGAACCAGGTATCACCCAAGGTTGGAGGGAAGCCATGGCTATGAATCAGAAGCACAAAACTCAACAAAGAAAGGAATGTATATCAAGAAAAAATTGAAATTAAGAGGACTTAAGAAGTATGGACTTTCAGAAAGATAATAAATAATGCATTCATTGAAGTGAATTTTACATCTTGGGAATAAAATGCAGATTGGGATAGCTTTTTTGCTTTTTGAGTTCCCTCTCTATGTTAGGTCTTTCCCACAGCCCATGCCTGTTCCTAAGATCTGCCAGTGTCCCCCAGATCAGCAATGGCTTGCTCAACATTGTAAATGTGTTGGTGCAAGACTGGCCTCAGCATGGGTTACAGCATCATGTACCAGGTGCTGGCAGCAGACTGGAGTGTCTTAGCTCATTCCTGTTGTGAATGTGGCTGGTCAGGGTCTTCAAAGACAGAGGCATAGATGGCCTGACTCATTCCCAATAATTCCCAAGAAGTTGTGCCTCCTGTATAGATTTTTAGGGTACCATATACCTAGGGAGATTCCCCCTCATTGGGCCAAGCCTCCTTACAGGCCAAAAGAATCCAATCTATAAAGAAGTGAGTACACTGAACCCCCTCCATTCCCTTACCCCCATCTCCATCACTCAGCAGGCATTGCCAGAAGGCAGGATGTGTAATGTTATCCATTTTTCCCTCCTCCTGACTGGTCAGAGAAATGCCATCGGTCCCTGTATCCCACAACCCACTACCCATATCTGGATACTTTCTTGGACTTCTGCTGGAACTTGGCAGCCACATCAATAAGCTCAACAAGAGAATATTCTCTCACCATAAATGTTTCCTGAGTCAGGGGGCTGCCCCACTGCCTGGGATTGCTGTTGCTGGGCTTCTTTTTCCCTTGCAAGAGGGGGGTCTCACTGAACTGGGGTGGATGGGGACTGCGATTTGTCCATTTCACTGTCAACACAACATCCTCCTCTTTGCTCTCCCTTTTTCCAAGAATTACACCTCTTAGCGTCCAATCAGGCTTTGTCACAAGCACTGGGGCCTTAATCCGGCCAGTTTGTAGCACCCACTTAGCTTTACCAAACTGCATGCTAAAGTCTCCAACTTCCCATCCTGCTATCCCACCTTGACCGCCGCCGCCAAAGGATCAGCGAAGGGGACAACCAAGTATCCTTCTATAACCTCAGCTCTTCCAACTTTCTAACCCAAGCTTCAGCCTCTAGCTGGGCCTCAGGGGCCAGTGAACTGCCCGAGATGGGGGCCAGCCCACGGGGGCATCCACGCATTTCCCCTTTAGGCTGCCCCGGGCCCTGTACAGCCCCTCGGACGGTCCTGCTAGACCTGCGGCGCTTCCGGGCGGCCTGAGCACTCGCGCCGCGCACGGGCGCCTCCGTACGGGGCTCTCCTCCACGCAGCGGTCAGAGGCCGGCCCAGGATCTCCTCCGCGGCGGCCTGCCTCCGAGACCCGTGGCCCTCGTCTCCTGGCTGGCTTGCCAGGTGTCGGTTCACGGGCCGCTCCTGGACACGGAGGACATGGAGAGACTACCGAAGGCAGCAGGCCACTCCGGAATGGTAATAAGCAGGGGAACTTACATACGAGGTCGGCCGGGCGGCTGTAAGAGGAGTCCCTCACTGCGCTCCCCGCTGAGTTTAGAAGCGTATCTAGGGGCCTTACCTGGGTCCAGTCACGTACGCCATGCGGGTGGTTGGAAAACATTGCTCCCCCAAGGTTGCCTCCTTCCAAGTACGGGGAGGGGGTCCGGCTGGCTGTCAGGTCAGCCCGTGGTCACAGCCTCTTGCTGACCACCTCCAACACTCGCTGTCTTGTTTAATTACTGTGTCTTATTTATCTCTTAATAATTTGTTCTTCATTCGTGACTCTTTTCCGTGAGTTTTAAAGATAAATTTATCAATTTTTATAAAAAATCCTCCTTGGAAGTTTGATTAGAATTGAATTGCATCTATTTAGAATAAAGTACTAAGTTATGCCATCCATTACTCTTTAAATTTTATTCAGATTTCTTTATATCCTTTAATAATGCTTTGCACTGTATTACTGAAGGTCTTGCACCTCTTTTGCTGCGTTTATTCCTAGATGCTCTATAGTTCTTATTGATTTTGTAGTTGGGATCTTTATTTCTATTTTATTTTTTCTACGTGGCTATTTAAGAGATATGAGAACCTTATTTTCTTGATTATTATCAAGTAACCCTAAAGAATGGCTAATTTGTGTATCTTGTTGAATTTCCAGTATAGACAATCACATAATTATCTAGTGATAAGTTCATTTCTCCCATTCTAAGTCTTATAGTTGTTCTTTGTTAGTATAGTGGTGAAGAGCAGTCCTGGAAATCAGACTTCTTGGATTCCAATCCTTATTAACTGTGTGACCTTGAGCTTTATCCTTTAGTATTGTCATCTGCGTAACAGGTAATAATATCTAATTCACATAGTTTTTGTGAAGATTATATGAGTTATTATATATAAATCACTGAAAACAGTGCTTCACACATAAATAAGATTGCAAAATAATGTTATTATCATTTCTGTTACTGTTGTGGCTAAATCATACAGTGTCCTCTAGTAAAGGAAGCTGTGATCATTGGCCTCATTGTATTTTTTTGGAAAGAAAAGTTTCTTTTAAGCCAAAACCATTTTTTTGCCATGTGAGGTTATAAAATTCTATGGCTTCTTTAAGTATTGGATCAGATCTAAAATCTTTTCCTAACAAAACTAATTGGCCTTCTAACAAATGCTCACCTGTGGGCATAGATGTATCATTAGTTAATTCAAAGGAGAACTATTAAGAAAAGATAAGTTTATCCACCTGGTCATTTGGTTTCTGAAGCATGTGGAGCTTTCTTCAATGCACAGTCAGTATAGTAATGTATTTTTCAGTTGCCAGTTAGAGTATAATTTTTCTACCTTCTAGCTGTTAATGAAAGCCCAGCTAAGAATACTTCCATTTAGGAAAAATAAAGTATTCATTTGGTACTACATTTGGTAATTTAAAACTGTCATTAACACAAATCAGATTACCACAGTTTGCCATGTAAGCCTAGCTCATAGTATCACCTTAACTCAGTTGCATTAAATGTTTAACCAAGTACCATTTCATGAAATGACCATATTTGCTGTAAGAATGTTACCAAGCATAATGTCCATTGATCAAACAAAATTTTATATAAAATCCCATGTGAAAAATTCAGTGTAGAATTTATAATTGGAGAATGTGTGTCTCATATAACGAAGTAGTGATCTTCCCCCCTTCCTCTTTTATTTAGTGTGTTTAAACTTACCATGTTTGACCTTTTGTCTGGCTGCCTGAAAGTCCAGAGCTGAGTTTAGAAGTTCAGTCATATAAACAGCATTTGCCACCATGGCTAGCATCTTTGAATTCCTAGTTTTTTCGCAGTCCCCATTTTCCTTTCCTGATTTATTAATCTCTTGTACCTTATTATAAGCTTATTACCTATTTTTGAAAAAACTGTAGTATAAATTCAGGAACTTGAAAATTTAACCATCAGGCTGCCTTTATCAAATGACTGTCAAGCCATAGGAACAGCATTAAGGAAATTCTAAATCAACCACAATAAAAGCAAAACAAAAATAAGAACAATACTGCCATGAACTAAGGGGTTTTCTTTACTTTTTATATTTGCTGTGTGTATAAAACTTTCTTCTAAAGTTTGTAATTATTAAGTTCTGTTTATTTTAGTACAGTTACTTTGCACTTACAGTTAAACAGAGATTTAGTTGTAAAATTACCTGAATTATCTCTTCCTTTAGTGGTTAAGATCAAGCAAAGTTCTCATTTTTTCTCAGATGGTATAACTGTTTCTAAAATATTCATATGAGGCTTTCATAAAGAAGACATACTTGCAGACAATATACACTGACTTCGTCCTTGCCAGGACTCTTCAGCTCACAGCAGGGACCCTAATCTCTTTTATCTTGAGCAAATTTTCTTTAGTTCCCAAAAGAAGATGGTACAAGTTGGTGCCAATGTCCCGTAATTATTAATGAACACATCTTTTTCCATGTTACCACTTAGAATTGGCATTTATATTGGATGAAGTATATTCAACTCACAGAGGAAGAAGAGGACTTGAAAAAATATTTGAAAAAATATTTAAAAGTCTAGGCAGGTTAGCAGAGAGAACTGATTTTTTAAATATGTATTCTGTATTCTTTGCCTTAAAATTATTCAGGAACTCTACTTGCCAGAATCTGGTGTCATTAAATGACTGAGAGCATGCACTGAGAGAGTCAGTCAGTTCCTTTTCCATCCAGTGAAGAGCCCCCCTGTGTGTGGATTAATGTACAAGTTATCTCCCTTCTAACCTTGCCCCAATTCCCTATAGTCGAGTTACAACAGAGCAGCTAGTGTGAACCCTTTGCAGTGTAAGTTAGATCATTTCACTCCTTAACTTCAAACCTTCAATGGCTCTCTATTCCACTAAGAGTAAAATCCAAAGTACTTGTAGAGGGTTACAAGTTCCCTATTATCTTCTGACCATTTCTCCTATTACTCTTCAGCTCACCCAGTCCATTATAGGCACACTAGCCTTTCTGTTCCTTGAACTCATGAGATGTCATTCCACCTTATGTCATTTTCATGGGCTGTCTCTCTTTGAGTCTGCTCCTTTCCCAGATAACTATACAGCTAACTTCTTCAACTTCTTTAAGTCTTTCCTCAGAGGTCATCTCAGAAAGGCCTCACCTTACCACCCTGTAGGCAACTGCAGCCAGTCTCCAATCTTGTTCTGTCTTTCTGTGCTCCATTTACTCTTTTTATCAAAGCACTAATCACCTTTTTAAATACTAACATACTGTTTACTTTGTATTTGCTGGGTCATATGTAGAATATAAGCACCTGAGGTCAGCAGCCTTTTCTGGTTCAGTGATGTGTCCCATGTGCCCAGAACAGTGCCCAGTAGATTTTTGTTTATTGGATGAATAAATTGATTTTTATGGTCTTCAAGTTAATTTTTAAAAATCTAAACTGCAGAATAATGTTTCAAGTTGTTTAATGTAGCAAACAAAGGAGCAAGCTGTGTCTAAAAAGGGTCAGTAGGATTGGAGTGAGATAAAGCCTTCCCAGTGTCCTAAATAAGCAAAGGAACTAAATTTATAAACACCAGCAAAATCAAAATCCATAAGAAAACTCAAAACAGTGACAAGGGACAACAAAAATCTACCTTTGTGGCCATAGTGTGTTTTATTACCATAACTGGTGATTTACATTGTAAAGGCTTCTGCAGAAATTTATTTCCATGGCAACATGTTCAATTTCTAGTTTATAATATGAATCCATAAACACAACATCAGAAACACCCCCCAAAATGCAGGAAAACATTAAAAACAAACAAGCATTGTAGCATACATATGATTTATATATGAGACTGTAAAAAAGAAAGTAGTACATATGAAATTAAACATTATTCTCATTTTTTTTACTTTTGGTATCATTAATCTACAATTACATGAGGAACATTATGTTTACTAGACTCCCCCCTTCACCAAGTCCCCCCATATACCCCATTAGTCACTGTCTATCAGCCAAGTAAGATGCTCTAAAATCACTACTTGTCTTCTCTGTGTTGCACAGCCCTCCCCATGCCCCCTCCAACATTATACATGCTAATCGTAAGGCCCCCTTTCATCTTTACCCCCCTTCTCCCCCGCTTCCCACCCATCCTCCCCAGTCCCTTCCCCTTTGGTAACTGTTAGTCCATTCTTGGGTTCTGTGATTCTGCTGCTGTTTTGTTCCTTCAGTTTTCCTTTGTTCTTATACTCCATCTATGAGTGAAATCATTTGGTACTTGTCTTTCTCTGCCTGGCTTATTTCACTGAGCATAATACCCTCTAGCTCCATCCATGTTGTTGCAAATGGTAGAATCTGTTTTCTTCTTATGGCTGAATAATATTCCATTGTGTATATGTACCACTTTATCCATTCATCTACTGATGGACACTTAGGTTGCTTCCATTTCTTGGCTATTGTAAATAGTGCTGCAATAAACATAGGAGTGCATATGTCTTTTTCAAATTGGGCTGCTGCATTCTTAGGGATTCCTAGGAATGGGATTCCTGGGTCAAATGGTATTTCTATTTTGAGCTTTTTGAGGAACCTCCATACTGCTTTCCGCAATGGTTGAACTAATTTACATTCCCACCAGCAGTGTAGGAGGGTTCCCCTTTCTCCACAACCTTGCCAACATATGTCCAACATTGAAATATGTCCAACATTGTTGTTGTTTGTCTTTTGGATGGTGGCAATCCTTACTTGTGTGAGGTGATATCTCATTGTGGTTTTAATTTGCATTTCTCTGATGACTAGTGGTGTGGAGCATCTTTTCATGTGTCTGTTGGCCATCTAAATTTCTTCTTTGGAGAACTGTCTGTTCAGCTCCTCTGACTATTTTTTAATGGATTGTTCGCTTTTTGTTTGTTGCGGTGCATGAGCTCTTTATATTTTGGATGCCAAGCCTTTATCGGATCTGTCATTTATGAATATATTCTCCCATACTGTAGGATGTCTTTCTGTTTTATTGGTGGTGTCCTTTGCT